TATATATATATATATGTATGTATTAGTATGTATTATAGGTGTTTTCAATGACATAAGGAATTTGACAAAGTACATATAGATTTGATGAATGAAAGGAATAAAATGTGAAGTTAGATACTTGAAGTATAGTTGGAAGCTAAACTCGCACAAAAGACTAGTAAAATTAATTAGATGCTCCCTTTTGTCCCTTGATGTGTTGATCCACATTCTTGTACACATTTTATTCATTTGCTGTGTTTTCCAGGCAATTAACCTGACCACCATTGTTGAGCCATTCTCTTAACAACCACCCTCCAAATGGGTCAGGGACTCTCTGCATTAGGACACAATATGCCTTATCCCGAGGTCGAAAACATGGCCGACCCAGACGACGCCAACTCATGGACATGTGCTGCTTGTCGCCTCCCGATATTCTCCACCCCTTTTGTTGTAGATAGATCGGGGGGCAGCAATCTCCTGCTTCACGATCAATGCTCCGGCGAATCTCTCCCTCCCGAACTCGCTGGCCATCCCCTGCACCCGAGGATTCCTCTCATCCTCCGACACCGCCGCCCGGAAGAGCATTCGTCGACTACAGAAGAGGACTACATGAGATATTATTGCAAAAGATGTTGGTCGATTTGCGGGAGCAAATTTTACGAGTGCCCGATGGGTGATGATCGAGAGTGTGGGTTCAGGCTCGATCTCCCGTGCGCCCTGCCGAACACGGTCTTACACAGGAGCCACGAGCACAGGTTACATGTTGCTAAGGTACATGGTTTGTCTATTCCGTCTCCGATCTCATTCATCTGCAGAGCGTGCGGGAAACAACACGAAGAGAGTAATAATGGCCGCCCCCAATTCGAAGATGCACGGGTAAAGGCTTATGCGTGCACGATCTGCGACTTCTGGCTTCATCCAGACTGTGCGCTTCTTCCTAATGCCATCGTCGACACATCATGTCACGAGCACCCTCTTCTCCTTCGATTTTCTATTAACACATTCAATACAAGCTGCAACATTTGCACTAGCAAACTCATGGCTTTGGGGTTCTATGCCTGTGTCACTTGTCGTTATTATGTTCATATCGACTGTTCTGTTAACTCGACCCGTCAAAGATTCCAGCCCGGTAATATCTAAATTCAATAAATTTTTTAATTAGCACAGACAGAGTCACACGCAGTCACACTCACATACATTATTAAACTTAACAGAACGTTTAAATAATTTTGCAGTGTTGGTTCGTGAAGCAGAGTTCCCGAATCTACTTCGTCTGCCGATGGAAAACGAGCAGGCTAGTGCGATGCCGCGTATTATGAGAACCACGACACCCAATTGCCACACACACACACATTATTCTCTTGGCAATACTACGAGTGACGATCATACAGTTAGTTCTAGGATTGGCAATTCATCATCACTTACTGATCACTCGAGTATCGATTCATTAGAAACTATCAGAGTACACGAGCATCCCTTGATCTATCATCACGACACTCACAGTGACATTATTCGTGTCTGCAATGCCTGCGCTCAAATTATCCTTCCATCCGATCCATTTTATAGTTGCGCAGATAATAATAATAATAATACGTGCAAAGATTTCTTTTTGCACAGCTGTTGTTCCAGTTTTCCAAAAACTTTTTCGTCCTTCCACATAGGCTACTGTTCGTTTACACCAAAGGTAGCCACGAAGCCCTTCACCATATTCGAGTGTATGGTTTGCAAGCACAAAACCAATGGGTCCGCTTATTATGTCGAAGGAAGAGAGGAAAAGTATATGGATGTGGTTTGTGCCTTAATGCCTCACTTAATCACACACGGTGCCCACGGGAAGGCCCACATTCTTCAAGGGAGGTGGGTAATCAGCGAGTTCAACGATTATCTTATGAGCTTAACGTGTAAATGCTGCCTCAGAGATATGAATGAATATCCCATCACTTCATATACGTGTAGCAATTGTCGTAGCTTCTCCATCCACCCGCACTGCGCTCTTCTCCCGGACACGGTCACCCACAAATTCGACCGACACCCTTTGAAGCTAATCACGAGCTCGAGCAGAGGAGGAGAAGAAGAAAACGGGCTTTGCGAGATTTGCGAAAAGGACATCGATTGGAGAAAATGGCACTACGGCTGCGAAGTATGTGAACAATATTTTCACGCGAACTGCATTCCTTGTCTCGATCGTCTGTCAAAGATTAAGTTCGGTTTTGAGGTTTCGGTCGGGTGCCATGAGTGTCCGATTGCCTGCGTTCGGGCTGTTTCGGTCGATGGACACCTGTGTGGCCATTGTGGGGAAAACATAAGGGAGAGTGATGATATAGCATTTGAATGCTCCAAATGTTATTTCAGGATGCATGAAGGGTGTGTCCAGGAGCTTATGATAAAACCTTGATGGTTTATTATTATTATTATTATTATTATTATTATTATTATTATTATTATTATTATTATTATTATTATTATTATTATTATTATTATTATTATTANNNAAAAAAAAAAAAAAACATGACAATCAATAAAGTAAGTATACATAAAAGATGGATATACATACACACATCATTGCAAAAACTAATCATTCAGATTAATTTCCATCTTCTAACTACAATATTTTCATACTTTGAAATGTTAAAATATTTGTAGTTTCAAAACAAAATCCTACTGCTGTATATTTATACTAGAAAATACTACAATAATTGTCGATACAATAAACGAGATATCGATTGTGTCGTCGAGCATTTGCAGTTCTTCTGGTCCTCAGTGAGTTCCTGTCGGGAAAATGTGCCTAAAAAACGAACTAAATACTGAAACCGACAGCGCAAAATGCGTGAGTATCTTGATTCCTTTTAATTAAAATAATTATAACCCAGACAGACTTTGAATCCTGGCTACGCCCCTGTATTCACCTAATCAGATAACATAAGTAAAGTGACGGGGTGATAGATTGGTGTGAGGTTGTGAAATTTAAAAGTAAAAATAAAAGTAAAATAAAACAAAAGCAAAAGTAAAATTAAAATAAAAGTAAAGCAAAATAAATGAATAAGATGACATACAATTAACCTGACCACTATTGGTGTGAGGTTGTCCCTTTATATGTTGAATGTTGCTTCTTTTGCTTTGCTGTGCTTTCCATGCAATTAACCTGACCACTATTGTTGAGCCATTTCTCCTAACAACCACCCTTTAAAATGAATCAGGGACTCTCCAAAGTAGGACACACTATCCCTTATCCCGAGGTCGAAAACATGGCCGACCCGGACGACGCCAACTCATGGACATGCGCTGCTTGTCGCCTCCCGATATTCTCCACCCCTTTCGTCGTAGATAGATCGCGGGGCAGCAATCTCCTGCTTCACGATCAATGCTCCGACGAATCTCTCCCTCCCGAACTCCCGGGCCATCCCCTGCACCCTAGGGGAGCCCTCATCCTCCGACACCGCCGCCCGGAAGAAGATGACGATGCGGGATATGATTGCAAAAGATGTTTGTCGACTTGCGGGAGCAAATTTTACGAGTGCCCGATGGGTGATGTTCGAGAATGTGGGTTCAGGCTCGATCTCCCGTGCGCCCTGTCGATCACGGTCTTACACAGGAGCCACGAGCACAGGTTGACAGCTGTCAACGGGCATGCATGGTCTATGTCGTATCACTCATTTGTCTGCAGCGCGTGCGGGGAACGGCACGTGCCGCCGGGTACAGAAATTAGTCGCCTATTATCTGAAGTTACCTCTGGTTTTGATCAATTACCAATCAAAGATGCGGTAAAAGCATACTCGTGCACGAGCTGCGATTTCTGGATTCATCCCGACTGTGCGCTTCTTCCTAATGCCATTGTCGACATATTATGTCACCGGGACCCTCTTCTCCTTGGATTTTCTATTAACAGATTGAATAGAAGCTGCAACATTTGCACCCGCGAAATTACGGCTTTCGGGTTCTACGCCTGTGTCACTTGTCGTTATTACGTTCATATCGCCTGTGCTGTTAACTCAAGACGTTACAGATTCCAGCCCCGTAATATATAATCCAATATTCTTCTTCATTAGCACACACACACACACACATTATTAAACTTAACAGAAAATTTAACTATTGTTGTTTTCTTTTTTTCTGCAGTGTTGGTTCGTGAAGCAGAGTTCCCGAATCTACTTCGTCTGCCGATGGAAAACGAGCACGCTAGCGCGATGCCGCGTATTATGAAAACCAAGATACCCAATTACCCGTTGTTTGGTCTTGGGAGTACTACAACGAGTGAAGATCATCCAATTAGTTATAGGATTGGCAATTCATCATCACTTACTGATCATTCGAGCATCAGCGAATCGTTTCCATCAGAAACTGTCAGAGTACACGAGCATCCAATTAGTTCTAGGATTAGCCATTCAATACTTACTCCTCATACAGGTATACACGAGTTGTTTTCGCCAGAAACTATCAGAGTACACGAGCATCCCTTGATCTATCACGATGACGCTCAAAAGAACATTATTCGTGTTTGCAATGCCTGCACTCAAATTATTCTTCCACCCGATCCATTTTACAGTTGCGCAAATAATAATAATAACAGTACATGCAAAGATTTCTTTCTGCACAGCTGTTGTTCCGACTTTCCGAAAACTTTTTTGTCCTACCACAGCGGAAACTGTTTGTTTACACCAAATGTAGCCACGAAGCCCTTCAACGTATTCGAGTGTGTGGTTTGCAAGCACAAATGCAATGGATCCGCTTACTATATCGAAGGACAGAAAAACTATATGGATGTCGTTTGTGCCTTAATGCCTCACTCAATCACGCACGGTGCCCACGGGAAGGCCCATATTCTTCAAGGTAGGTGGGAAATCGGCGAGTTCTACGAATATCTAAAGAGCTTGACGTGTAAATGCTGCCTCGAAAAAATCAATGATGATACGATAACTTCATATACGTGTAGCAGCTGTCATAGCTTCTCCATCCACCCGCACTGCGCTCTCCTCCCGGACACGGTCAGACACAAATTTGACCGACACCCGTTGAAGCTAATCACGAGCTCGAGTAAAGGAGAAGAAGAAGAAAACGGGCTTTGCGAGATTTGCGAAAAGGACATCGATTGGAGAAAATGGCACTACGGCTGCCAAGAATGTGAACAATATTTTCACGCGAACTGCATTCCCTGTCTCGATCGTCTGTCAAAGATTAAGTTTGGTTTTGAAGTTTCGGTCGGGTGCCATGAGTGTCCGGTTGCCTGCGTTCGGGCTGTTTCGGTTGATGGATACCTGTGTGGCCATTGTGGAAAAAACATAAGGGAGAGTGATGATATAGCATTTGAATGCTCCAAATGTAATTTTAGGATGCATAAAGGGTGTGTCCAGGAGCTTATGATAAAATCTTGAGTGAGGGGGGGAAAAAACTTGGAACAGATGATGTCTTTATTATTATTATTATTATTATTATTATTATTATTATTATTATTATTATTATTATTATTATTATTATTATTATTAAAGTAATTTTTAAGTCTGATGTGATGATGATAATGTACAAAAATGTGGACTAATGTCTACACAGAGAAAATGAGTTGATTTTAAACCTAGCAGCAGAATTTTGTATTTTTGTATTAGCACACACATACAAAACCTAGCAGCAAAGACTACTACTATTATGAGGCTTTTAAACAAAAATTATAAGTTTTTTGCAGTTCTCCAGAAATAAGAGCCATTCTTCTTTGATTTTGTTACCACATAATAGCATTTCCTGAAGAAAACCCCCTCCTTGCCGCGAGTTCTCGTAGGATTTGGATTACAACTTCCCCAGTTTACTTTCAGTTTGTTGTCGAGCATTTTGCAGTTTTTCTGGTCCTCAGCGAGTTCCTGTCGGAAAAATAAGCCAAAATGAACTATACTGAAACCGAGAGCGCAAAATGCGCAAGTATCTGATTCGTTTAAGTATACATGATATTTGAAGTATGTGCATCATTGGAAAAATGTGCGAAAAATAAACTTAATACTGAAATCGAGAGTGCAAAATGCGCGAGTATCTGATTCGTGGAGCACGACTGTGAAGATGAAGAAACATATAAGTTCGACATGGAAATCGTTCGTATTATTCAATAATGTTCCTACATAAATTTCCTTGGACCCGTGATTATTCTTCAGTCGCTCAACTGATTTGATTTCAACAAAAAAGCTAATCTAATAGGTATACAACAACCATTGCCAAATGCAGTTATCGTCATTACCAGCTTCAATTCTCAGCTAAATACGAAATGGGCCCACCCAAAATCGGACATTGACATTCCAAAGTCCAAACAGAGGAAAACACAATCAGTACTATCGACAAGATCTTTTCGAACAATCAGAACAGCACCCAATGAAATAGATGTACACTCTAATAATAGCTGACGAGTATGACGATTTTCCAGCACGGGTCGGAGTAATCAGTGTGTACCCAACAGGCATACCCTTTCCGGAACTAAAAATTCGACATGGAAATAGTTCGGATTATTCGTTAATATTCCTACATAAATTTCCTTGGCATCATCATCACTCCTTTAGTCACTCAACTGATTTGATTTCAACACAAATGCTCATCTAATAAGGTGTGTGACAACCTTTGCCAAACGTAGTCATCACCAATTCACCATTACCAGCTACCAATTCTGAGCTAAATATGAAAAGGGCTCACACCAAAATCGAATGCAGACATCCCAAACAGAGGAAAATACAACTATTGCTATCTGACAAGGAGATATTTTCGAATGATAAACATAAAAAACAACACTAGATGGAACATATAAGCAATACTCTAATAATAGATTATCAGTATAAAGATTTTTCAGCACGGGTTGGACTAATCGTGTGCTCGACAAGCAAACCCTTTCCGGAACCAAAAATTCGACACGAAAATAGTTCGGATTTTTCAATAATGTTCCTACCTAAAATTCCTTGGCACCATCATTACTCTTTAGCCACTGAACTGATTTGATTTCAAAACAAATGCTCATCTAATAGGTATATGACAACCTTCGCCAAATGCAGTCGTTCGCCATTTTCAGCTCAAATTCTGAGCTAAATACGAAAAGGGCCCGCCCAAAATTCAGACATTTACATACCCAACAGAGTGAAAATGCAATCATCCTATCAACAAAGAGATCTTTTCGAACGATTACTATCAGAAACAACACCCAAAAAAATAGATAAAATATGAACCCCAAATAAAAATTAATAACCTTCGCGATTCGTATAGCATAATACACATCCTTACCTCGGAAAGATATGATCTTGGAGGATATGCCAAAAGATTGAAGAAGGTTTCGAGTTCGAACGACCTTAATAGAAAAAAATAAAAAATAAAAAAAAAAAATCAGTATTTTTTGTGTGTAGTGTTCTAAGAAAGAATGGTCCTTGAACAAGACATGGAAGCTCCTTGTTTTGATAGGAACCACACAAGGAAGAAAGAGTTTATTGGGCCTAACCACTTTTTTTGCACAATTGGGCTTTACACAAAACGAAGAAAGATGATTAAGAAAGAGAGAAAAAATAAAAATAAAAATAAAAAAAAAATTTAACGGGAAAATTTTACACATAATACATGAAATAAAAGAATTTTCAATTTTAATTTATATATATATATGAAATCACATTAATAATTGAAGCCATGTAGCCTAGTTGGTGATAGTTCATTTTTATAATCCAAAGGTCTTGGTTCAATTTCCACCTTGAAATTTTTTTTAAGTAAATTAATGGCATAATAATAAATTCATTAATAAAGTAAGCGTATAATAGTAAATTTGACGAAAAAGTAACGTCGTCAGTATTAAAGTAAGGGTGTTAATATCAAATGGAGAGTATGCAGACATATATTAAATACAAGAAGATTTGACACAATTTTTGAAATACTTGGGAATAACGCGCATATTTCATATAATACAAGGGATTTGGTGCAATAAACCCAAAAAATATATCAAACGCGCAATGCACCTTGGGTTGCTACGGAGACAGTCTCCTTGTATAATTACAAGGGTAATGTCTGTGTACAATTCCCCCCAGATCCCAGCCATTTGGGAATATACTGGGTATGTTGTTGTTGTTATGAAAATAAATTACTTAATATATGTATCTCGTGCATCGCACGAGGTACGACTAATGTATATAAAGATGTAATGCTGATAACTGCCTAACAACACATAGGGTAATTATCTGTCTCTTTTCATCTAATGATTGCCTAATAACACGTAAGGTTATATTTCAACGCAGAAGAAAAAAATATCTACATGATTGGTGGAAATATTTGTGATACTTCACTTGAGTTGAGCCAGAGAACTACATACTATAGAAAGAATATACCAACATACCAACCCTAAGGATCCATTGGTTGAATTGTGGTTCCAAAACAAGAATATAAACGTTTGCATGAAAATTCTATTTCAAATCTTCTAAATAATAATTATTTCACCATGAACCCTCCAAAGGTTATATGGCCAAGTCAATGCATAGCTGACCGGATTAAAGTTGAGTCAATTAGGGTAACATGTAAATAAAACCTCACGTCACTAGACTCAAGTTTAAGCCCGATTTGTCAGGATCTAAGTTGACTCGGTCATGCCGGGCTAGTTTTTAAAACAACGCTTTGACCATCGGATTTTGTTAACCTGATTGTATTAGCTGATTTGACTGACGAATTTCGTTAACTTGCTCTCAACAACATAAGGAATTTTATGAAGTATAGATAGATTTGATATGTGTAGGTAGAGATACTAGAGGATAAAATCATCAAAGATTACTAACATGCACCCTTTTGTCCCTTTACTTTAGGCTATGTTTAGTAAGATAAACTAGCTTATAGATTCTCAGTATTTTTTAGCTTATAGCTTGCTATGTTTGGTAAAACTAGTTGATATGTTAGCTTATAGCTTATCAGTAATTTTTTAGCTTATAGCTTATAACTTACAGCTTATGACTTATAGCTGATAAGCTAGTTTATATGATAAAAGTGTTTGGTAAAAATTAGCTGATAAGCTAGATGGAATAAAAAATTCAACTAGCTTATTTGCAAAGTTACTAATGGAAGCTTATATATCAAATAAGCTCGAGCTTTTTAAAAAAGTTCGTCCTACCAAACGAGACTTATTTGAATACAAGGAGGTTATAAGTTAACCAAATAAGTTATAAGCTAGCTTATTTGTCTACCAAACATAGCCTACAGCCACTCGAAACAAAAACAACTTATAGCTAAAAAGCTAGCTTATATGATAAAAGTGTTTGGTAAAATTAGCTGATAAACTAGCTGGAATAAAAAATTCATGAACTAGCTTATTTGAAAAGCTACCTGATTAGCTGGAATAAAATATTCATGAACATTTTTGTAGCAATTACTTTTTTCTTTCATTTTCTTATACTTATTTAATTTGTGTTTTTATAAGACGAGTAAAGTGCACATTAAAAATTCACAAGGTGCCAAAATGTCATTCCGTTAATGAATGCACAATAGTTGTTAGACGAGATGCATAGACTAAAAAAAATGATGAAATTTCTACGGAAATTCAACAAAAAATATTTGTTGCAATGAGTTTTTCATTGGAATTTCTGTTGGATTCTAATAATTTCAAATGTAGAGTTTTAATGGCTGAAATATGGGTGGAAATAAAATCCCAACAGAAATTGTCACGGTAAAAAACCATTGAAAAAACAGTCGTTGGAATCATCAATGTTCATCTAAAATTTTAATGAAAACTCATTCCGACGAAAATTTTCATTGGAACGATTCCATCGAAATATATACCATTGGAGTATACGTTGTGAAGTAAATAGATTTTACCCGAGCTCCTTCAACTCGATCGACCTTCGTACCTGCAAGAACCCAACGCCGGGGGTGGCCCCGGTGTCGGGCCACCGATGCCTAAGTCAGTACTCAGATCAAGGGTGTAGTAAGTGAATGATTAATAGAGAGTGAATGGAGGATGTGATACCTTAGCCCCCTTTTATAGGGAGAGTGTACCTTTTGGGCTCAAGTTGGGCTTGACCTATATCGTTATGCTCTTAGTTCATATGTGGGCTTATTCTCCAATATGTATTCGTTTTATTCATTAAATTGGGTCTAGTATAATATCCTATGTCACGTTGAAATTTCAATTAAAACATATTATCATAGAATTTTTCGTTAGAATGTGTCAATTGTTTTATAGTGACATTAATGCTTGTGAGAACGCACATCAGCGTAACATAACAATGCATTTTGTGCGATAACTAAAATACTCCATGTAAAAAAATAAAAGTAGTGATAATTAGATACTTGGAGTATAGTTGGAAGCTAAAACCACCATAATTAAAAAATCAAAAGTACCATATTTAATGACACAAGGAATTTGACAAAGTGCATATAGATTTGATGAAAG